CATATGCCAGAGGCATGGCTGTAGAAAGAAGACGCTGTACTTGGTGAACTTCATAGCGCAATTGTAGAAGACTGTTGCTTTGTAGGTGTCATAGGACGATGAACGATAGATTTCAGGACAGATTTGAGGATGGTTTTGAAGCTCAAACCTTTTGTTATATGGAAAAGTTTAGGCCAGAGGACCGATAGTTCAGTTGGCCATAACGATGATTGCGAAGTGATGCAAGTCGTGCCAAGGTACCTGTAAGCATGTGTGAATTCTGACTGTCTCTCATGCGTCACTTTGTTTTCCATGGCCAAGTAAGTAATTAGTGGTGGAATAGGTGACCAATTCAGCCTTCATAGTTGTGGGGCCTCAGTTATATGCTGTTTCCGCACATCTAATTGAAGCCCGCTCAATAGCTAATCTTCCAATTTCACACAGTGATATGACATGGATCAGCTAATCCATTCAGACTCGGCAAAATATACCCGGCAGTCGCGATGTGCGAATCCTTGTCCGATCCAACGACGAAAAAAACCATGCCACTGGCCCGTGAATCGAGTATCGAGGTTAGGGTTCATAGTTTCGTCTCTTTAGCCGCGTTCTCTAGGCGTCTCTCTTCTGCAAGAACTTCTTCTCTACTCCTAACCTCCACGTCTTTGGCCACGCCTTTGACAAACCTAACCAGCACAACTCTCTCCCAGTCGCCACCCCTATCAGATCCTTTAAGCTCCGGACCAGGCTTATCAAGAGCTAGGATAGACCTCTTGTCGCTTTGCCGTATGCCCAATGTAGTGGGACTGATCACTTTCTCCGCCCAAGGGATCTGAGCTGTGGGGTGTTTCGCGGCCTTCGGTTCGCTGGTTGTCGGTACCGTGGCAAGGAAGCCTCTCAGCTTCTCTCTCTGCGAGCGATAGTGCTCCATCAAATCAGTGGGACTTGGCGATCCTTGAGGTGGCCCATCTAGAAATTGCGATAGTAGATGCAGTAGGAAGCATTGTGGTGGAAACATGACAATCTCGCCTTTACGCTGCCTTTCTAACCACACACTCGCATCATCGAAACGCGCTGCGGTGATCTCGGCGCCGCCGTCGGGTGTGGGGATTATAGCCTCAGACCGAGCAGCCGATACCGCTGGGTCGTTGCTGGTGGAGAGAGGGAGCATGTAAAGATACATCTGTGTAGTAAATCGTCGCGGTTGGTTGAGAGGTGTTATCCATCTAGTAAATGGTAATAAATTTTCTGCAAAGTGTTCAGTCCTCTGATTACAGTTGACAATGTGCAATATGGAGCTGTACCTGTATCCGCAACCCCGCCCACGCTTCGTAGCCATTCGACAAAGCGAACTTCATTCTTGTAGATTGCTCTGCGGGCCTTGTCGCGCTCGGAACTGGGAATATCCAGAGGCTTCCCGTCTTGGCTCCCTTCACGCGCGAGTAATATCCCACTCTCTTCGAACGTCTCCCGGATTGCGCCGAGTCTATACGGAAGCGAGTCATCATGCCGCGTGGGATCGTCTGGCCCCGGAACCGTTCCGTCATGGAAGTCAGAGAGGTTCCCACCCGGAAAGACATGAGCTGAGGGAAATGCTGATGAGGTCCGTACTCTATGCAGCAATAGCACTTGGTTCTCAGGAGACAAGAGTACGACGCTCGCGCTGGGCCGCGGCGGTGTTAGTTTCTTGTCCTTGGGCGGCCCTGCTGATATATGCGTTTTCCTCGACATTACGAGGAGTCTCGTATAATTGTTTGGCCTCCTCTCCCAGCCTCTCAAGTAAAACCCGAAGCTCCTTACTCCTTCGTAGCCGCGAATTGGTTGGTCACCACCGGCTTGGGTCGAGAAAGATGAGACTGATCGGTGACCTCCGACCGAATTAGAAATAACTCTTGGCAGGATGAAAATTGCCCGGCGGTTCGTAGTACGTCTTATAGATAGAACAGACGAATGCGATAAAGCCAACGACATCTCCGTGCCGTCGTTGGGGGAGCCGGGGGGTTATGTGCGGGACTAGTCAATTAAGTACGTAGGACGGTTGCGTTGTCGTGTGGATGCCGAGGTCCAAAATCTATGCGCGTAAGATCTGTATTTTCCCTGCAGGTGGCATGCATCTTCCCTTTCTACTCTGCAGGACAATGCGCAGCTGCCACAATGTTTCAATATTTCTACCCGTGGGCCGAACCCATAGGTCATCGGTATAAATTAGCAATCGGTCATTAAGAAAAGTCGCAGTGGCCCGATTTTAGTTGGGGTTTGAAGTCGCTCTATTCGACGAGGATTTCAATTGCGCGAGATGTGCAGGGAGGATGTAATCAATAGAGGAGGGAATATGCAGGTGGCAGAGAAGGTAGCAAAGCCGGTTAGACGCGGGGCTGCTCTGCTAGCTCCAGCTATCCTTGTTGGAATAGGGGTATAAATGTGGGGCACGTTGGCCCCCCCTGAGAGACTTAAGCCTCGGTACGCTTAGGCTACTTCCTTCCATTGGATAAGTAGGATACTAATATTCGCCGTCCTTACTGGACTACCTACCTGATGAGTTATGCCATTCGGAAAACACCTGGCGTCTGTACAATGGACATCTTGATTGTTTCGACAGCTCATTGTTCTACGAAGCAATGGCTCCGGATTATCCCGCGGTGAAGCACGGGTGACCCCTATGGGACGGCGCGGCATAACTCTCCCGGTTTACCTTCTTCATGGTAGTGAAGGCGTAGGCTAGGCAGCAAAGCGTAACTCAAGTTAGAAGGGTATTTTTGGTTCAAGAATGCAAAGAGTCAGTATCAACGCAAGCAAACGTCTTATCACATATTTGGGCTTCAACAATCCAGCCAACTACCTAGGTAGCAAACCCCTTGAACGCCGATGCATGCAAAATAACGACTATGCCTACTACCCAGCATCTCCCTACTATCCCCCTCATCTCTTAATACCACATTACCCGGTCTTCCTCCGAATCGTTCTCAGAGAGCGTATGGTAATCGTGGTATACATGGTCCAATTCGCTCCCAGTTGGGGATCCGCCGCCTCTCGCGGTTGGCAACTCATCGTCGCTGTCGGCTAGGGTTTCGGCCGGGAATTCGGCGTCGAACGCGGCTGGGAAATCGCCATCGAACTCTCCTCCAGCCTCCTTAGATTCCTCGACCTCTTCATCCATCCCCTGGTCATCCTCAGCCCTGTCCGTGACGTGACTAACGCCTATTCCCATGCCCTGACCGCCTCCCTCTTCCCTTTCCTCTGGCAACATGTCCGTTGATGCAAAGGAACCCGCCAAGACGAAGTATGCTTCGAACTCCGGGGTCAATCGCTCACGAGAGCGCTCAATGAACGTATCAATTGCATTCGCCGTCTTGCACTGCTGGGCAGCTGCGAACGGAGGAGTCGGGTTAGCCTTCCACTTTTTCCTTGCGGCGACAAGGCAATCACACAGTCGGTAGATCGCGCGGTCATTCAGGTGACTGAGCCAAGGGACAGCTTCTCGAAGCGCGTCGAGGAAATCGGGCACGCCTTCGCCCTGGCTGGTGAGGTGTTTGAGGACGTTGTTTCGCAATGCGGCAATGAAGATGTCAGCGAAGGCCTGGTCAACTTCCTGCTTGACCTCGGATGTCGCGTCGACATAGACTTGAGCAATCCGCGCATTCTGCAGGGCGTCCATGACGGTAATGTCTGCTCGCTGGCGACCGAGGATATCTTCTACAGGCTCATACATCATTCCAGCACGAGGTACGAAACGCGTTAGTCGGTTATAGCGAGACATGATGAACGGTCTGGATGATGACGAGTCGGGTAGGTGAATGATGTGAATGAGGGCGGGTCTGAATGATTGTGGTTAACGGACGATCAATTCGATATGATCGCGGTGATTGCACGATAGCGATGTGTTTTTTTGCTCTTCTGGACAGGCGGTTATAATTGCTCCTGTTACGGGGATTTGTTGTCGTTGCCGTTGCTGCTGCTGTGGGAAGAGGATGCAGTGGATGATTGCGGTTGATTGGAGACCAGGATATCGAGATATGTGGACTGATGCCGCGTCATGTGGTTAGGGACAAGGCAAAAAGATGATGCATTTATCAGCTATTTGAGTCTCACCGAAAGTAGATCTTGATGTAGAAACTGGTAGGTGCAGGTATACTTGTAACTATTTGTGCACCAGACACAGATTTTATTCACCTCATATATCTACTTAGGTACCCAGGGAAGTATGTAGGTAGACATGATCGTGTACTTGATTCTACTGGTTGAAGTACCTCGCGGTATGATAAAAGTTGTGTAGTTGTTGCTGGGGTGAGATGAAAATTATTAGGCGCTATGGAACATCGAGATTCATTAATAACATTACACTTTAATTGCTGCAATAGAATCTTTCCATGTAAACAAAATGCCCCAATTCGCTCTGTCCATTCCCCTATCAAACCCATATCAGCATTCCTTCTCTTCACAGCTCAACAATGTCGTCAAGATACAGCTCCTCGCAGTAAGATACTAGCTACATGTAAACTACCAGTGAGATATTCGGGTTGGACAGCGTCCTATTATTCAACTCGAAGGAAATCAATCCATTGTCAATACCTCAGGAATTATGACTGCTGCTAGCGGTGACCAAACGTAAACCCTCCTTTCTGGGGGGCTCTGAGATATCCGCAAGTTCAGCCTGCATGAAGCTATGAACGAGATCCATTGGCTTCGAGGGCGCCTCAAAAAAACTCAATTCCTCGTTGATGACCTCTTTCTCGAAAGGTATCCAAGCACCTTCATCTGGTTGAGGGTTAATAGAGTTTTCCAATGCGGGAATGAGTAAATAGCACGGGAAAGTTGCCGCAAGAACCCCTGTGGATTAAGGTAGATGTAGATCAGTACGTGAAGGGAGCATCGAAAGGTGAAGGAAAAAGGAAAAAACAATTATTCCCCAGATCCCAAGGCGCGATAGCGATGGAAGGTTGCGAATTTCGTGAAGGCGCGCACGCCATCATACTTCCATACTAATTATCCATCGTGGCCACCAGCCCCCAAATTATTGAGGGTAGCGCACAGTGGGACTCGAACCCGAAGCCTTGCAATCTTGGTTATTACAGGCGCGTCTTACCACTAGACCAACTGCCCATTGAGCCATGCAGAGGGGTTGGTTGTTTGACCTTATATGTCTACCCGTTGTTCCGGAATACAGCAGGAACGGGCAAGTGGCTCGTGATTCGCGGTTGCCCCTTCCAGTGTGTTCTTTCCTGTTGCCTAGGAAGCTGCTGAGAGAGATTCCGGCCTTCCAGACCCCTCCACCCGTACGATGCCATTACCTAGGTAGACTAGAAGTTTGCTAGCTGTGATCCATTAGAGCCAGTCCTCTATATTCTCTGAAATAGTATTAATTCTCATTCATGGACAACACGCCTGACCTCATTTTCTTATCATCCGTACTAGCAATACGAGACCTACAAACTGAGTGCTAATATCATACGCGGAGCTACCAACGTCAACCTTGCCTGGGGATTTTCAGAATGATAATAGAACGGACCACAGAAATGGAAACCATCCATATTTGTGAATACAATAGTTGCATTATTGGCGGCTCCAAGAAATTGTGTCCGTAGGTCAACATTAAACATTATGGACTTTTATAAAAGTGACCCAGCAGGCATTAGATCTACCTAGGGAGATGGGTCGGATGTTCGAGGAAGTACAATCTTCTACTCAGGGCTTATCGCGCCCGATTCCCTCCTTGTATGCCTTCAAAGCGCGATCACGACTCTCTTTATGGTCTACAATCGGCTTCGGATAACCTACCTTCTCAGCTTGCGACGCACAGCCCCTATTGTATGGATCATGAATGGCTTTGCCCTTGATCTCTCCAAGTTCCGGTATCCACTTGCGTATGTATTCTCCGTCAGGATCGAACTTTTCGCTCTGGAGAAGAGGGTTGAAAATGCGGAAGTATGGTTGGGGGTCTACGCCGACGGAGGCACTGAAGCCCCAGCCACCGTTATTGGAAGCGAAGTCGCCGTCGATGAGATTCTCCATGAAGTATTTCTCTCCCATACGCCAGTCAAGGAGCAAGTCCTTGCATAGGAACGAGGCAACGATCATGCGGCATCGGTTGTGCATCCATCCTATGCTTCTCAGTTGTCTCATCGCGGCGTCGACGATTGGAAACCCGGTGCGTCCGTTACACCATGATTCGAAGTGGGTCGAGTTATATGACCATTCGATATTTGAGTATTCGGGTTTAAATGGCTTGTTCATACTTCAGGTAGCCCATTAGCATGGAGTACCAGTTCAAAGAGGTACTCAACCTTACCATATATAGGGCCAATGGACCAAGACGTGTTTGTAGAAGTCCCGCCACGCAACCTCACTGATCCAGGTTTGGATCCCTTCAGCTCCGGAATCCAGCCTCTTTGTCTTGTTCCTGTCCCTTGCGGTCCGCACTGCAGTCCTCGCACTCAAAGTCCCTGCCGCTAAGTGAACTGATATTGACGACGTTGCGGCCTGAGAGGGAAAATTCCGCCTTTTGGCGTACTGTCCAATTTTCTCCTCACAAAACTTGTCGAGCCTGTCCATAGCTTCACGTTCTCCAGCCGGCCACGTGGCGTGGAATCGTTTGGCGTCTTTTTCGGATAACCGCTTGTTTTCTGGTGGATCTGGTATCTCGCAGTCGAATAGTCCAGCTACCTTCTCTCGAGAGGCTGGCGTGTTCTTCGCTGGAGGTTCAAATAGATCAAGTAGCTCCTGGTTTGCGTGGACATGTGCGACCCAAGCTCTGAACCAAGGTGAGTAAACTGCATACTGCTTTCCGGCCCCTGTATTCAGCGCCCCTGGGGGGACAACACATGTGTCGTGGAATAGGACTATCGCCAGCTCCCTCTCTGCGCAGCTTCTCACCATCTTCGCCTCCCTCCTAAGTTCGTCCACCTCATACTCGATATTAGCATACAGATGGCTTGCTCCCCATTCTTCCATAAAATCCACGATGCGCTCAGGTATGTCTTTTCGCTTCTTGACAGTCTCCACATATAGAGGAATATCAAGCGTTGCTAGATCTTTCTTGAGTTCTCGTAGCGTGCGCATCATGAAATCAACGCGTACCGGAGAAGTCAAATGGGCCTCGAAATCCTCGGGGCTCACCATGTATATGCATACCAGGGGAACACCTGCTTCTTGGGCTCTTTGGCTCGCCTCCCACAAAGCACGATTGTCGGTTATTCGCAAATCCATTTTGAACCAATGTATTACTGCATCCTTCACTTTGATACTTTTTCGTATCGAGACTGTTTCTTTCAAGGCAGCTTCCAGTTGTTCAATAGGGCGAGGAATCTCATTGCGGTTGTAGGCTTCAGCTCGCGCCACGCTCATCTCCGGCGGATAATATTTGCGCAGGACAATCCCGTGCTCTTCAGCGTCGGCGGCAAAATGATGTGGTTTCCATAGTGGATCCAAAGACCCATTCGCAAGCTTGGGTCGCTTGATTGATGCTTCATCAACATCACCGTCGCCTGTAACTCTTTGCTTCGCAGTTCTTTTGGGCGGCATGGTGCAATAAGGCTTCGAACTGGGATTCAACCGCAGTAACGTAACACGCGCACGGTTGGAATCTGCGCCCGCGCGGGACGGCAGGCTGTTGGAGTAGGACAGGAATGATCTGCGACACGATAAAAAACTATTCGGAGAAGGAGGCATCGAAATTCTGGAGTGGGAAAACAAAAACGATCCGATTAGGATCGCGGTTTTGTATGTGCGATTTGCATCATTTTGGTATTTTCCTTTTTTGGTCGACGCCCTTGAAATGGAGATGGGAAATGTCCGATGTCTCGTACGTCATCGCCATTCCGAGATCGATCCAAGGCTGAAAATGTGCCCAAGTCGATCTAGATTAGTGGCTCCGTTAGCGGCGATCATCAGCCCTATCTATCAGCCGCAGACGCAACCTGAAAGCCTAAAACAACGACATGGGTCCACTTTAGGGGGTGACCCTTACACAGCCCCAGGAAAAGGATGAGATAAAAAAAAGGTGATATTCAGGTTCATACGCTAGCGAGTTAAGACACCCTGATCTTATCGCTAGACTATGTATAAGAATCGTGGTTTCCCACAACGACGGACGAATATTTTCAGTTGATACCTATATAACTGTTAATGGGTTAGCTTTCCATCCAGATCTCGCCGGTTCAAATATTATAAGTTATATAATTTAGGATTAAGTCTACACATATGAGGGAATCTCCGAGGGAGGTAAAGAAGAAGGCAAGAGCCGTGAACTAGAAGCGATGTCAAAAAGATAATGCACTTGCACTTAGGCACGTGAGGACCGGTTGGGGATGACTAGGTGTCTACTAACCTACAATGTCTATACTTTACCTGGGACATTGCTTATCCTCTCGTTCGTCTTCGACATCCTCGTGGCATCTTAAATAGCCTAGGTACCTGCCTTCACACTAGGAATGGAAAAGCGCTTCACCATTGCTTCCCATCACTGGGTATATAACTTGATACGATACTTCTTCTATCATTGAGCTTAACCACCGTATGTAGCACTACCAATTGTCTGGATGCGCCCATTGAGGTTTGCTGCCGTACCATGCTGCACTTTTAGTTGCAGTTCATTTTATCTACATGTGAAATATTCCGCACTAGGTGAATCCAGGGGGTTCTTAATCGTTATCAGCTGCGTAACCCGCCAGCCACATTGAGCGACAGCGAGTTAGGTACCTTAAAAAACTTCAATGATAGAGTTACACTTTATTATGTGCCTAAGTAAGGCAAGAATCCTCACTTCAGCTAGCTGAGATACTGTTAAGACTCCTCCTAACCCTCGCTTGAGGTGGGGTTCCTATAGGCCTACAAGTTTCGTACACTAAGAAGGCTGAGAGGGTGACATTCAGCGTGACTCGCTAGTCGAAATATTTCCGGCAGTATTGCCTTATAGCTACATGTATATATAAATTCCAGACTAGACGGAATTATCTCATTGCATATAGAAAGACTCCAGTGATTATCACATTCCACGGCCGATGGTGTAGCAATTCCACGCGCTATAAGGATGGTGATAGGTACTAGCTACATGTACAGCGAGTTGAGCTACATACCTCATATCATTCTGGAATACGTCATGTTTAGAGAGATTCAGCTGACAAGTGCGAATCATACCGTACTATTAGGAATCAACAAATTTTAGATGCCTTCAAGATAGCTGATTAACAATAGAGCAATGTAACTTGTATCACCGACTTCCTGATGTGACGTGGGATGATATTTAACCTATAAATCGCACAGTCCGGCGACTTAGATAAGAATCGGAACCAATGTGGCGCGCCCATGAGTAGGTAGGTTTAATGACATATCATGACTCATTTAGTAGTAGGCCATTTTAGATTACCTCAACTGCACTAACGCAGCACTCCATGCACTCCCCCAAGTCTTCCCACAGTCAACTTTCGCAACCAACTCACCATTAACACGAACACGACGAACATTGCCAACGCTGCCTCTACCGCCTCCAAATCCACCATCAAAATATCCACCTTCTCTCTAGTAGTCTTTCGTATGAAAAATGGCCATCTTTAAGTACCTCCTTCCTCAGGTTGGAATGGTCTACCCATTCCAGAAAGACTTTCTTTCCAAAGAACAGCGGGACGAGCAAGTGACGGCTGCACTCAAGCAGGCCGGCATCATCGACACCGGGCCCGGTGCCTCCGACACGACCAACAAGAAGGCGGTCGACAAGGCCTTGGCCGACCTCTTCACTCTCGTTGCTCAGCCCTACGTAACGTTTCATCTTCCAGATGAAGACGTTAACCTTCCCGGCATGACGCAGAGGACCGGTTCCTGGGTACGACATATCGCAAAACCTGTCTTCACCCAGTTGATCCAGAGCCTGATCAATGCTCGTGTAGCTTGGTACAAGAACCCCAGTGAGCCCTTCGAAACAAATCAGCACAGCGCGACAGCGAGGAAGATCGACGTGTTTATGGACTCCGTGGAAGGCCAGGTGGACCGCGCCATATCAACCCTATTCGACAACATAGGGGAATACAGCGTGAAGGAATATGAGGAGGATAGCGGAGAGCAGGCTGGAGCTACCGCCTCCTCGAACGCTGACAGATCGGGTAGCGGATTGGACGTGGTCATGATGGACGTCGCAGCGGTGCCAGAGGAGGAGCTGGATCAGGAGAAGCTGAGAAAAGGAGTGGAAGCCATTGACATTGGGGATAATAAGTAGATGACGCTGCGGAAGAAAACGTTGATTGCATGAAGAAGATGTCGAGATATCCGGCGTTTGGCAAAGCATATATAACTTCGCGTTATGAGTAATACACATTTGCTTTTGCCTTCATAAATGTTATATCGTTTACTACTTAAGTCTCAATTGAGCCTAAGTGCTCCTGAATTACGTTGTTAGTTAACATAGGCTAGTTTCTAAGCGACGAAAATAGTAAAGCTTCAAATAAGGGGAGGAAGAAAATAAGATTGGATTGGAAGGGAAGTTACCTAGGTATATAAATGATGTTTGGAAAGAGAGGGAAAAAAAAGGAGCACCTACAAATCCCCCGAAACCCACAGCTCAATGTTGGAAGGTGCCGGACGATTGGTAGTGCGTACATAACCGAGATTCAGGATTAATTATCCAACATGGGCCAACATCTCTTAGAAATCTAAGAGTAGCGCACGAGTGAGGCTCGAACCCCAAGCTTTTGTAGGTGCTGTAGACGGGTCAACCAACTTGACCAAGTGCCCAGTGAGCGTTAATGGGCCATAAGTTATTTGACCCTATATGCCTAAGTTTCTCCGCGATACTACCGAAAAGGCAAGCGCGTCGCGACTGGCAACTGCCCAGACGATGGCTAACCTTTCTCACGCGACTTCCTTTTCTGCATACATACCTTCTGCTGTAGACCTCCAGTAAGAGGTAGGTGCCTCCAGCACACCCCTCAATTCCCTAATCGTATCCGTACTGCGCTGCAGCTCCCAAAATATCAAAGCTAGGTAAACCCTTCCACTTCCAACCCTTTCACTTCCAACCTTCCCACTTCCAACCTTTCCACCTCCAACTCTTCGCGACATTCATCCTTACAACCAAAACAGTCCGCCATTGCGAAGTCACATCGACAATTAATTCACATTCATCTCACTTGTTCTTCTTCAAGAAACACACCCGAACTCATCATGCTCGTTATCAACCAATTAAAGGAGTTCCTGCCCAATGCAGGCATGGTGCTTCCCTCTTCTACTATCGTCCTCGGTATGCAACGCAGAGACACCGGCATCATGAAGGCCTTCGAGGTGGCCAACTTCGCGGAAGCCGGCACGGGACCCACGAAGGCAGCCAAGGCCGCGGTCGACCAGGCGCTGGCGCAGACCTTCATCCTCGCGACCAGCCCTCAGATGATGAAGGAGCTGTGTGGTGAGGGTGGAGGTGTCCTCCACTTCCTCGGCGTGCTCCGAACGGCCGTTCCCTGGGCCGAGCGCGTCGGGGAATCGACTTTCATTAAGTTCTGCCAGTGCCTGGTCGACGCGCGCCTGGCTTGGAAGAAGAACCCCCGCCCACCCTTCAACATCATCGAGCACAGTGCTACGGCACGAGCCATCGATGACCTCCTCGAGGCAGCGGGCCCAAAGTGGTGCCACGCAGAGTACGTAATATCGAGATTATTCATTCTCTTTTATCCCTTTACCTTCCAAGTCCTAAGGCTCATACATGGACGATTGCTGAATTATATCATTATAGCTTCGAGATCTACGCCCTCGTGGGAGGTTTCGAGGAAGACGAGGAGAATGACAAGGAAGAGGAAGGAGGAGAGGCGAGCGGTGCCAACCAAGCTGGCGAGTCCTCCTCCAGCGCCGGCCCCTCTGACAGCACCGACATAGAGATGACCGATCTCGCCGAGGCGCTGGAGGAGGACTCGCAGGAGGAAGAGCTGAGACGGGGAATGGAGGAGATGGACCTTGACGACTAAGGTCGCTCGAGAAGGAGGGGAAGGGGGGGGGGGTTAGGCTTTCTTTTGTACTGTCTTCTGCGGCGTGGTTTAGTTGTGCCTTCTTGGCCGAAGGGGCCGCAACGACTTTAGGACCCTGAGACAAATAAACCTTTGCTTTGCTTTTTCATCCACTCTTTTCATCTTTAGACCATCCCGTTCCAGGCCAATTATCACGCATAACTCGAAGATACACAATAAGACCGAAATGTTGGCACTGGTAGCTTTAATGCGTACCTAGGTTGGCTACTAGCTATCCCACGAGGCCGACCTAGCAGGAGGCTAAAGGCAACGTTGTTCCGTAAGTAATCATGAACCTAACTACGGGGAGAAGCCCTTCGTAAATATGGGCAGAGCGGGTTTTTTCCTGCTGTCTCAGCTCTTCCAGTAGCAACTCCTAACAAGCTAAGCTCAGTATGACAACTTGAGCTAGGCGGGTTGCCACTCATGGGTGTAGTCTACAATATAACGACCTCTCCACGAAGATTGTTCTTACGTTGCGTCATATCCGCGGACCTAATCACTCAAGGCACGAATCGAGTCGATATTTGGGCTCGACTTCTCAAAATGGATTGCCCCCCTTCTGGTAAACTTTACCCTCGAACCTATCTGCTAGCGAGTATGATGTGCCAGGAGTTGTCCATACGGGATCTGAGACAGCAGGACAAAGAGCGCCCTGCCATATGTACGGAGGAGTCCTCCCCCTAGATCTGTTCACAGTTCCTTGCGGAACAACGTTGCTTTCCCCTTCCTGCTTGGTCGGCCTCGTGACACGATGCGCATATTGGGACTGATAGTTTTGCCGAAGTGTGGCAACATCTAGCCAGCGGAATGTTTACATCTCCAATGGAAAGCCCCGGGGAGGAGAGGAAATGTTGCGACACATTGCAAAAGAAAATGTAGCCAAAGAATAGACGTTGCTTGATTGATAACTATGGGTTGTAATGCGGATTGATTTGGGTGAGTCCCTGCCAACGGAGAGATGAAAGTCGCTGTGGGATGGACGTTTCCACTGCCCGAGCACCTAATTACCTACAAACTGGTATCTATGGATCGGTCGTAGTTAGGGGCTTGATATCATCACCTTACCAGATGGGTAGGTAGGCATGTTCGTAGATCCCAAAGGCGGAGTACTGGAGGTATAACTTGGATACGGAAGCGGTTTAAGATGCATCAAATGGCTCTAGCCACGTATACATATACATAAGGCAGTGGCTACCTGCAAATAGATTGGTTGTCAAACACCTTCCCTCGACATCAGGTTGGACCCGGAGATTATCCTATTGGCTGCTTGATTAAAGGTTATAGGTTCATTTGACTGCTGCAATATCAACGCTCAATGGGCACTTGGTCAAGTGGCAAGACACTGGAAGCCTCAGAACCTACAAAGGCGGGGGTTCGACCCCCACCATGTGCGCTACTCTTTCTAAGAGATGTCGGCCATGTTAGATAATTAATCCAGATCCAGGTTATGTACGCACTACCACTTTTCAGCACCTTCTAACATTGACCTGTGTGCGCTACTCTCCAAGAGATGTTGGCTCATGTTGGATAATTAATCCTGAAATCGGTTATGTACGCACTACCACTCATCCGGCACCTTCCAACATTGAGCTGTGGGTTTCGGGGGATTGTGGGTTCTTGACGGCTTCACTTTTTATTATTTTTATTATCATTTGTCCTTGTTCAATCTCTTGCCATCTTTTTGCAATGCCTTCGAAACTCACTTTACCTCTCCTCTTCATCCCCTTTACCTGTCTTCTCCGCCCTTAACTCACTTCAGAGATTTGACAATGTAGGTGTGAAACGGCTCGCCCGCTTAACTGTGGACATCAATGATGATGATATTATATATAGATCGCGATCTAGAAATAAGTTTCAACTCATCGCATAACAGCATCACAGCATAACAATTTCGTAAAATACATTGATTTCATTTCCCGGTGTCGTCTAGTGCTATAGATATAGTTATGACGTGTCTCAGATATGCCTGTTAAAGAGTTCTTGCTGGTGAGATCACTGAAGCACTGCTAGGCGAGGTGCATTTAAAGTTGGGAGGAATGCGATGCGGCGACTGGATACCTTCCTAATTAGGCAATATGAAGATCTCCGCACAAGCGGCATGCAGTAGCGTTGTATCGGACCCCTAATTGATCTAAACCGCCGGGAATATCCGAGTCCTACTACCCACCAACCTTTTTGCGATGAGTCAACAGTAGACCGTCATGTCTGGTGCGTGTTATCTTTGATGAGTGCTTTTCGAACAAGATCCTGTCGCAAAAGCGACATCGCTGTCTGCGAACAGCTAGATAGCGCATATATACCCTGTGACAGATTCCTTTCAACAATTACATTGTTCTCGACCGAGTTCGACGCATACACCGCATTCGAAGTTAAGACGTTGAGATGATCCGTCATTCGAATGGTCCGAGGCGAACAAATCGTTAGATATAGTATGCGTGAGACAATTATTTCTGTCTCTATTAAGGCCAACGGAGTTATCTTAGCGAAATTAATTGTAGCCTTCGCTTTCTTTCGGTTATAATGTACAGAGCATCGGATTCTTATCTCCGTGATATGCATCCTCGGTCGTTCGAGATGGTTTCTATTGTTCAGCCTCTCAACTACCTCACGATGTTTTCTTGGTATCGTGTCTGCCACAAGCAAAATCACCGGAATTGTTGTTTCACCCATAATTGCTATGCGTTGGAAACTGCTTGCGAGGTTCTTAGCCATTGAATGCTTTGAATATTTTGAAATTTAGTGCTAGAAGTGTTGCGTCTGGGTATTTCAGGACGCAGTGACTTGAATTTATAATTGAGATAACGGGCAGCGCGTTCTCGTGGCGGAGGCTCCAGATATATATTTTAACTGTGACTTTCTTACCAATTTGGATAGACTTCTACTTGAAACGAGACGCTGTCGTGATTGACACTGTTAGGTGATGTCCCAAGTCAAGTAAAGCGGGCCGTTTACTGTTGGGAATTGGGAATGCGAGAGGATAGCTCGTGGCGCGTACAAAACATCGGGCTGCAAGGACACGGAATACTTCACAAGGGATGCTTGACAGATCATGCTGTGCGCCGGAGTAATGGCAGCAGACCCTCCATTGTTACAGGAAAATATTTGACCCGTATCTGTGCTATAATGGATATCTCGAGCATTACAGCTTTTTCAAGGCCATTTTCAATCTTCGGCACGGAAGCTATCGTGGTAGCCCCTGAATCCTCGCCCATAGGGTCACTCGGAGGTGGATGCGAGGAGACTTCGCCAGCCGGATACGGGTTAGTCGCGGGGATCGCGAATTACTGATGTCAAGATAATATGAATTGTAGAAGGGAATCGTTCGTATTTCGTTCCGGAATATGGAAACGGCGGTTATCTAACCGGCTAGATGCAGTATCAAAAGCAATCCCATGCCGACCATATAGTCATGAATCCCCTTGAACACCAAACCCTGTCTACGAGTGCGTTAGCAAGGATGCAGCACATTGGGAAATCTAGCACTCAACCCACCACCCTATGATAAAAGAAATTTATCGCACGGGGCTCCAGACGCTCTTCAGGAGGCCATCCCGCTGAGCCAGTCGGTTCAGGGAATCGTCGCTCTCGCCCATCGCACGCACGAATCCGCAAAGAGCGTAGACGTGGTTCTCGCCCTGGATTTGTCGGCCGTTCTCGTCAACCTTGGCGATGGAGATCTGGACGGAGGCGTGGTCCTTGGCCTTGATGATGCGGTTGGTGGCGCTGCACTTGCGAGGGACGTAACTGAAACGAGGCAATCTAGATTAGCGAAATTCGACGACGAAGCGCAGGCTGTAGAAGTTCTCACAGGTCCACAATCTCTCCCTTGTCGTTTTCCATTTTTGCGAGTTGTCGACGGTGACGTTCGGAGTTGGCTATGTGGTTGTTGTGATGGTGGATGTCGCAAGCGGGCGGATGTGTCGTGGATTGGTGAAGGAATTGGCCCCAAGATTTCGACCCCTCGAAAAGAGAAAATTGTTGTGGTGGGAAATGGGGCTTGTGCTCGGGTATCAGTCACGTGATAATTGAGTCAGCTGCTTTCGGGTCGGTTTCGTGGCGCTGGCGTCCAGGGACCCGGGCTTGGCGCTCGGCTCCCACGCCCTTGTTGGTGGATCCTGTCAAACTGTTGCTGATAGGCGTGTCACCACGAGTCATCCTCAAAGATAAACATCACTATCAAGGACTACATATTTTGGTGGGCTTTTGAAGCACCTCGCGCGAGCACGCAAATACTCCAAGAGATAGGTATAATTCTCTATTGATTTGTTCATAATTCTGTCCCTCGGCAAAATTCTCAGCTGCGCTTGGCGCACACCAGCTGCCCTGCGACGTAGACTCGCTATGTCTGCAACCGACATTTTCCTATCATCTTCTCCGGGCCCCGCGGGAATCAATTCCTACGCTCTTCCGTCGTCGCCGAGTCTGCCTTCAATAAATGAGATATTCTCGAATACTTCTACGAAGCCACCTCTCCGAACTGAAAGCCCCGCGGCACCGATACCCGACACTATCCGCGCCACATTCACGAGTGCTGCAAGCTTATTACGAGAAGCCCCCGAGATTGACATAGAAACCGAACAAATCGCGTATTCTCCGTCGCGTACATCTAATCCTAGTGGATCCAGGAGGAAGAATTTGCCAACACCCGAAACGAGTGTACCAACGGAGGCACCTATCCTAATCGAGTCATCGCCTCGGGACAAGCCATGGCAGAAATTCAAAAGCAAGAAGCAAGCGCCCGAGCGTGAAAACCAACCCGCGCCGAAGGGCCAAGTTACAAAACCGGGCGCCAAGGGTAAGACTAAGGAGAAGACCGAGACAGTCTCTAGGCACTTTGCTGTGAAAGAAAACGTTGCAAAACATGCCGAAAAGAGATCAGATCATGACGCAAAACTGCATGCATTGGAAGCGCAGGCTGTGAGCCGCCCTTCCTGTTCGGAGCCTGCTATGAGGCGACGAAGCGATTGGACCCCACCACCTGCCAACAATCCCATTTCCCTTGAGCCCGAATCAGATAACCAGGAGTTACTGTTGTCTATCGAAAGAGGATCGAAGTCAAAGGATGTATTCCAAACCCTTGTAGATGACTACGGGCGCAAAGCGACCTCACCTCCTGTCTTGCCAAACAATCGACAGCAAGCAGGCGTCCTAAAAAAACGGAAATTGATTGAGCCCCTCTCAACGAGCAATGAAGCTGGCCGGCTCCCAAGAGAAACATCTCCACCCAAAGTAGTTAATACGAAAAAGAAAACCAGGACAATCACCGAACTGGCAACTGCGCCTTATATCTTGCCACCTGAGCCAGAACTTGATCTAGCAGGGCCGGCTACTAAAGAATCTTTATTAAATTATTTCGACTCGGATGGTGCTGTCAAGGCTCTCGTCGAGCACCAGACCGCCGTCATGTCCCAGAAAAAGGACCAGGCTAAAGAATTAAAAACGGCCGCGAAGCCGAAACGCAAGAAGAAAGCCGGGACAGTGAATAATCCAATTCTTTTGTCTCCGAACTCCGCCCTCAAACAATCTTCTAACCAAGACTTTGTCTTTGGAACCTCAAGTCAATTAGTCAGAGAAGAATCCCCAACTACTCTCAGGAATCTTCAGCTGGCAATACAGGTTTCGAACCAGGTCGACTCCGACCCCTTCGCCGAATCGGACAGCCAAGGACTGTGGTATGTTGGAGCAAGAGATACCGATGGTGAACTTATGAAGGCGGATGATGTTCAGATTGTCGACGAATTGCCTTCTCTCCGAGGGCTTCAGAAACAAGCGCAATGTCCTCACGACGAATTCGTCGATATCAACGATGTACTGAAGTCGTCAGGGGCCGATGAGTCAGCAACACAAGCCCCACAACTCAATTCTCACTTCTTTCAATCTCAGAGTGTCTCCGGTGCGCAAGTTCCTCAAACCGATGGGCAAGAGACTGCCAAATTTCAAGCCACTTCAGGAGCAAGTAATCAGCGACCAGATTTCGAATTGCTCAGCGATGCGCAACTGTCTAGGCAAATTGCATCATACGGGTTCAAGCCAGTGAAGAAACGCCAAGCCATGATTGCGCTTCTTGACCAATGTTGGAATAGCAAAAGCTCCGGAACTTCAATTCATCAAGCAAGGGCGATATCGACTTCATCGAGTATGAGTGTATCTAAAAGGAAACAACAGACAGCCACAGCAGAGCCGGAAAACCCTCCAAAGCGACGTGGGCGTCCAAGGAAGAATTCAACGACGGAAGTACCTTCAATAGGGACGTCAGCACCGAAAGAAACCAGCGTAAAGAGATCTCGCGGTCGTCCAAGAAAGGAGACTCCGAAGCCTGTCGAGATTGCGGATTCCGACTTGGAAGACTCTGTAACGTCAGCATCGTCTAGGGCATCGTCACCGGACAGAGAC